TTCTCTCTCTCCTCAAGAACCTCGCCATCCCCGCCTCCTCCCGGCCCTTGCTCGGCGACCTGCTCACCCCCGACCTCCTGCCCGCGATCTGGTCTCTCGACCCAAACACCTCGATGCAGACGCCGCAGCTGCACTTTGCCGCCGTCTCCCTCACCCGCCTCCTCCTCACATCGACACCGCAAAACGTCCGCCGCCTCTGCGCCCCCCTGTCCCCCGACCCCCTCTCGCCGCTCAGCAGCCAGACCCTGCTGCACCGCCTCCTCGACGTCTTTGCGCGCGCCGACCCGACCCAGGCCGCCCACACCCGCACCGAGGCCGCGCGCGCCGCCCTCGCCGTCGTGCGCGTCCTGCACACGACGCCCGTGCCCCCGCTGCTGCCGGACTGGGACCCGCGCGACGACGGGTACGTGTTCCGGCGCGAGGGCGCGCCCGTCGTGCCGCCGCCGTCGTCGTCGTCGCCGGCCGGGGAGGACGTTGCGCGGCCGCGGCGGGGAGGTGTTTTACCGGCGCCACGGGGCGCTGGGCAAGACGCTCGCGCACCTCGTCGTGCAGCCCAAGTTTGGCGTGCTGCGGAGCGAGGCGTGGTTTGTGTTTGCGCTCATGGCGAGGAGCGAGGACGGCGCTGGCGTCGTGTCCAAGGTGCTTGCTGTGCCCGGGGCGTGGGAGGCGCTCGTGGAGTGTATCACGGGGAGAAGAGAGGGTGAAGAGCGTTCGGTCGAGACGGCGGGGACCGGGGGCGAGGTCACTATTAGTACGGATGCTGCCTCTGTCGTGGACGGGCTGCAGCCGCAGCAGGTTGATCCGCAGCAGGCGGAAGGGATGGCCAGGGTTGATCGGGAGAATGGCTTGGTGCTCGTGTCCGAGCTGGTCAAGCATGCTGGGGAGGATTTTCCCGCGGCGAGAAGAGCAGCACTGGGAGAGATGCTGAAGGAAGGCGGGGAGTTGGTAGCTGAGGGTCGAAAGGATGACAGCGCGAAGGATGCCTAGGTCGGGTAGCCGAAAAGATTTGGCCGCCGCCAAAGAGTCTGTAGCGTAGTTAAATGACACCTACATCTCCGAATCATGACGCTTCACACGGCACATCACATCACCCAGTGTTCAGACATATCCAGCAAGCAAGGTCATAGTTCACATTGGATATCATGTACCCACTTCAGATCATGCTTTTCCCATTGCAGTCGTCTGAGTACATACGCCAGCCCAAGGACGAATGCAGCTGCGGCGGTATTCTTCTTCTGCCTCCTGACCCGCGTCCTCAATTGTATCTTTGTTCTTCCCCCCTCTACCCCAACACGCCCAGGCCAGGAAAGAAGAA